CCCGCTCGTCTTCCCCCTACCCCACTACGTGAAGACAAAAGCGATGACATTCCCTTCTTTAGAAGGTCCTTTTTTGTACAAGCCTCAAGTACTGCTCTTCAAATTAAAAAACATCCGAGTTTTGTTCACATAAAAGGACTAAAACGGCTGCACCAAATAGTACTACAAACAGTGGAGGATAGGATTTTCACACGAATTGCTTCACTTTGGGACGTTCCCATATGAATATTTGAATTCAACTTCCACTATCAGATTCGTACTGACTCATTTTGCTCATTTAGCCTACACAATAACTTGCAAGGGCTAGCTGTACAAGTCCATACTCTTATAACGCTCCCAGACGAGCCTGATACCAGTTAACCAGCCCGGAGAGATGGAAAGCTTGGCTGGACCGAGGGAGTGTTGGCTTTGCAGGCTATACATAAGGCCAGCAGCACCAGTTTAGGCTGTCCTGGCTTCGCCTCAGATGTTTGATAGTACGAGAACTGTTCTTGCAACTACGAATCGTTTACTGTTTATATCTATCAATGCATTCAAGGAAAAAACAGACTTACTCGTACTGTACAAGTTCAAAATCAGGTAGATTTTTTGAATTCGGATCAGGAATCGAAACCGGTTCCCAGTCCCTCCATACTATACGAACTTCGGCAGTATTATATGAATAACTCTAAAATAAGTAAATTTATTCATTTATTTATTTCCGATAATGCAGGCAAGACCATTCATGATAATGCTCTCTCTTACAAATCTCTACCTCTCCCTATACTTACTCTCACCAACGGGGGAAAAGAGGATGGTCAATGGGGAGGACGGGGGTTGGAAGGTGGCAACTGGAAAGTCACATGAACCTCTTGCTCTCCCTCCTCCACTCGGACACCTAGCCTCGATGTTGGGCCTAATTCGTGTGAGTAGATTGATTGTTTGATTGATTAATTGATTGATTGAATTCAATTCTCTTTCTGAATCACTTAATTACTAATAGGGTCCAAGCCGGAGACTGCCACTAAGTGTCCAATAGCACAGGCTCTGCAAATTCCAGTGGTAATCGAATTGGTGTCAGTCCACTACTTCATGACCAAAATACGCAGGAAAGAGTGTGGTATTCGAAGGAATAGGGGGGAAAGTAGTACTTGAGTTATACCTTAATAATAATATGAATACGAGAGCACGGAAATTGTCCGCTGGCTGAATAAATGGCAAGTATACTTTACTTCTGAGTAATATGTATGGTGTCTTCTAATTTGTACTTCTCACCAGATAAGCCCAGCTACCTTGAAATTCTGCTTATCCAAAGCAACCACCCCAAAATGTGGGCGAAGTAACTGGGTGTCAAGCTCTTGTGTGCTTTTTCCCCTCGAAAAAGGTAAATGGGACAAGGGGCAATGCTCCCTTGGGCCCTAGAAAAGCGGGTGCCTCGAGCCGAATAAACCTCGACTACGGTCCCACACCCATTTGGTGGGGCCCATAATCCCATACAATAAGTTTTTGCCAAACCCCTCCGCGATCGAATTACTGCCGAGGAGTTCCCAGGATTGGCGTAGGAAGAACAGGCGCTGTTGGTGATCAATACTGACCTCAAAGATCAAGTTACAAGATTGTCGATCCATTGGAAAATATGTAAGATCGAGTTTACACGGTCCAATAAGTGAAACACGGAAGTTCAGCCAAATAGTTCCATTAGGAAATACTAGCAGTAGAATATTTTGAGATGGAGATGAATGAATTTCAACCTGAAAAGTATTGATTGTATTGAATTGCATCTTTTAAGGGCCAATGCAGTTGAACGTTGAGCGTGAACGACTTACTTTTTTGCTATTTACAAAGCATACATTCGGAGACCATAATTGTGGTAATTTATGAGCAGCTAGCGAAATATTCTTTATACAATAATTTCGATCAGTGAAATCAAGCCGTGGATCTCGCCATATTTGTGAAAACCACACATCCGCTTTGAAACTACTCGAGAATTCACTGATTTCCGTTATCGACTGGACGGTGAGTTCGACAATAACCTGGAAGTGAATGTCCTACATAATTGTAAGTCTTAAAACGAAAAATCCACGGGAAAGTCTCATTCCAAAGCTTTCATTTCGGCAAAACGGTGAAAGTGTGGGAAAAAAGCCTGTCATTGGTTGTATCATTACATATCATCATATAACATTATCCAGTAATCAATAAGTGCGTTGCCCTCCCCCTTCGTCCATCATATCGATACTCCATTGAGCAAATTTAATGGCACACATAACGACAATTTGATGTACGTTTATTAGGTTGCACGGAGAAAGTAATGATGCAGAATAGTACATCGATAGCGGAAGAAAAGGAGAAAATCCGCCGAAATCGCAAAATATAGGGTCTTTTTTCAACTAATCTTACTGAAGCTGGACGAGATTATAAC